GTGGATGTGAGATTTATTATAGCTGTGACAGTGACTGATGCTTTTTGTTCAGATAAGTTCAGATAAGATAAGAAGACATTTATCTGTCACACAGAAATGTCTGTCATTGTTGCGCACATAACAGCAGAATAAAAGGAGGAAATAAGAGCACAGTCAAACAGGATCTATTATTTAAGACTACAGATCATAAAATTATAATTGAATAACATCATAGAATAAGATCTAGAGCTATAATTGCACATGGTTCAAACACAGTACTCTAGAGCAGTGTTCTTCAACCCTTTTGAGCCGTGGCACACCTGTTTTATTGAATACAAATCTCACAGCGCACCGCCCGCTAAAACGTATGCAAAAATTATGCAAAAATGAAACTTTGCAGTCTTTGAAACAAAAGCAAAGTAATTCTCTTAAAAAGGTATTGTATAGAAAATCAAACAAGCGCAATCATTTGTTCAAATCTTCTCACATTGTTTTCTTTTCACTTCATTTGGACCAATCAGATCATGATGATGGATCCTTTCCAAAGTTTCAAGGCACACAAACATGCCACGGCACACTGGTTGAAAAACACTGCTCTAGAGGAATACACACTGTTGTCAGCAGGATGTATTTACAGATGTTTGTCTTGTACTTTAGCAGCAGAGAATATGACCAGGTATAACATATGAATGAACAGCATCAGATATATTGCCTGCATGGTTCGGTACATAAATATGGAGACGTCAATATATTGCAAAACAACCTAAATGATTTCCAGATATCCGAAAATCCAAAGTTACTTTCTACACAATAGCTAAATAAGCAAAAACAATTCAAAGCTCATTATACAGGGATTATAATACTCTCCTATCACCACAGCAGACATTCACACATCTTTTGAAAAACTCACTATTAGCCTTGTTTGACAATTCAATCAATCCAACATTTTCCAGCGGGGTTTAAATTATGAATGGGACATTTTCATGAGACTGCCTAAAGCCCACACATTTTGTTTTCATGCTCAAGCTATCTGAAATGTTATGTGGCCTTCACGCCAAGATCTAGATTACAAAAACAAAACAATTTCACATCCCCTTGGAGCCACGGTAGAAAATTAATGAACATTTTGACAGCGTTTTTGTTGTTTTTATAAACCCTGGACCTCATGATGACTTGCTCTACTTTATACATTCTGATTTTACTCACAAAGTACTGGTTGAAGATGTCCCTGTAAAACATATTCAAGCTAAACGTTGCTTATTAAAAGTGACATTTTCATTAAAACAGCCCAACTATGAAATATGTATATTACACTGCAAACTTAAAGGTTATTTTTGCGTAGCAACTTTGACAGCATTAAACGTCCTCATAAATCGTCTCGACCAAACAGTTTGACTTTGCCTCGTCCTGTCTAATGTAGTTCATCATCATTTCACAGCGGAGACTCCCACTGGACCAGCGCCGTCAGCCATAAAACCGTATTTACTGACTTTATGAAGGACCACTACCACCTCCTCACTCTTTATACTGATTTATATCACATCCAGGCCTGGGTTCTGTGGGGCTCTGTCTCTCCTCCATCTGCTCTCCACTGCTCACGTCATCCACCCACCAACTTTTGGATTTTGGACGACTGTCAAAAGGAACTAATTGAAAATGAATCAAAATTATGCTGTTCTGATTCTCAGAGTGGGTGTAGTATAGGCGGCCATTTGTATAAACTTATGGTATTGAAGAAGTGTAATAAAGGAAGGGCAATATGACAATCATTTATATTGAAAAACATTTGCCTGATTGGAAAAGTTTTGACTTTGGCTCCAGACCACTTGGTTTTCTGTTCCAAACATCTCAATACTAATGACCTACGCAGATCTTTAATACATTTATAAGCTCCTAAAACCATATACTATAGTCTCCTCCCATGTGGGAAATAATAACGGCTTATTAACCGAGCAAGCAAGGTTAATAAATGTTTTATTATATGACTCTCGTCTGTGTCTTTACCAATGCTTTTGAGATATTTGTGAAGTATGTTCATGTCCTTGATTTTGTGTGATACGGGCTGTGGACCAATTGTCATGGTAACCGTCCGTGGAAAGATATCAAATGTGATACGCGCTGTTCGGACCAATTGTCATGGTAACGGTCCGAGATGGGAAAATATCAGACCGCAAATCAACCAATCAGAGCGCACGTGCGGTCCAAGTCATATAATAAAGGTGAATAAAATAGTATTAAAATGATAAAGTTGACCAATGTCCATGAATGTTACTAAACGTCCATAAATGTCCTCAAATCAGGTTATTTGCATCGCCAAGGAACGACTCAAAAATAAACAGCTGTCAAAAAGTGAGAAACCTCAGGGAGGCCTGAATTGAGAGAGGGATCTGTGCCCACGAAAGGTTGGGCTATTGATCCACGACTCAGACTGTAAAACAAGAAAATGAGGCTGTGTGGTGCCGCACTGAGGCGGCTCCCAGGCGGGGAGGGAGGTGAAGCCCTCAAGTTCAGGCCCAGGGTACACACTGCAGAGGTGCAGATAAAGGAGGTCGGAATGAGGGGTCCCATCATCAGACCATCAAACAGACAATTGGACAGCTGGTGAATAGCAATGAAGTAAGCTAAATGTCCCCATATGCGGCTTGAATCTATGTTTTTGGACTTAAGATTGTATTTTTAAGTCTTACCCATCTAGCCATATGCAGAATTAATGAGGAATGTTTTAAGCCTGGCCTTGAATATAGAGACTGTTCTCATTTAAAGCCTAAATACACATACAAGAGTTTACACATGAACAAAAGCAGGCAATTCACATAATGCCATCTTAATCATACAAAAGCTAATCAGGATATTTTTTCCTCAATAACTGATTTAGTTATTTGGTACAATTATTCAGAAATGATTGTGTCTCATTTCTTATTGTAATGCAAGAGTACCACACACAGTCCCTTTGGCAGATGTGAAGCCCGGTGTATCCTGGTCTTGTAGTCTACTCATGTCCGTGCCCCGTGCTCGCTGTGTTCAGGGTCACTCAGGACAGAGTGTGCGTGCGGCCGGCGAGAGTTTGCCGTGGACAGCTCGATGTCAATGCGGTCTGAAGCTTGTGAAGTCGTATTAAGGCAAATCCAACGACACACACAAACCAAAAGGAGCGCACATCGTTATGAGCTGAATTGCACGTCCCATAAGATGCTGTTCAGAAGCACTTGTGTATTCATTTGTCGTAAAAAAACAGATGCACAGAATGGTAGTGTGAGGCTGAGACGCTGTTTAAATCCACCTGACTTCTTACCCGCGGGGGTGTAGCTTCTCCTGCCGCACTGTGCAAGGTCATGGAGCTAAAGTCTGAAAATGTTAACTTGGCTAGAGTGAATACGTTTTCCCATTTCAAAATTGCCAAAAAGTGCACGGATGCCTCTCCCTCTGGTTATAGGGCTGGAATGGTACAGAACAGTTCACATGTAGAGTACAGTGTTTATGTATCCGGAGATAATTGGTGAATACAAATCTTTTATGAGCAAAAGTTTGAAGTAAAATAAACCACAAACAAAAAACTTAGCACCACACATTTGTTCAAATGAAACCACGTACGAAGGAAAAGTATAGTCATATGTAATACACAAAGTTTGTACGGTTTCTCATCAAATTCCAGCAGGTGGATTGCATCATTTGGATTGTAATTGTAGTCACTGTTTCCACCACTATTATTGTTTCATTTCTTTATTTAACTGCAATTCATCCCTTGTCTGATCTACTTATAGGTTAAAACTTCCCATTATTCATCCAGTAGTATGCTTATTATCTGTATTTTTTAAAATTCTACATATTAATAATAATGTTGCACAATGTACCGCTGCACACACACACACACTCACGGATGCACGCACCCACGCACACAAACACACACACGTTACCTGTTGTATCCCTTAAAATCCTGTATCTCGCCTTTACAGTCCATGATGTATGTATGTTTTTTTGCAAATATCAAGTAAAGTTAAAGAAAAAAAAGACGAAAAAACAGTGTTTCAATTTATAATTGGTATTAAGTACTGTATTTCTCCGCTGCTAAAGTACATAGACATCTGTAAATACTTTTGAACCAAGTGCAATTATAGCCCAGAGTTTATTATATTTTATTTTATTCTTATCTTAATTTTATTGTCTATTACCTTAAATAATAGACTTATTTGATGTGTGCAATCTGAGTGCTCTTATTTCCTCTCTCTGCTGTAATGTGCGCAACGATGACACGGACATTTCTCCACTGAGAGACTAATAAAGGTTCATCTTATCTTATCTTAAGTATCAAGATCAGTACATCTCTATTTTTACTCTTTTATCATATGTTGTCAAAAACATTGGCGAGTGACTAGCCTGGCCTTAACCATCCGTACACTCCTGTCAATCCTCATTTCCCTGCATGTAACGTCTGGGTCTGGTCCCTGTGTTAGCGATTACATCGGTTGAATTCCATCCGACCAATCAGCGAGCGCGGGATGCGGGTGTTGTAGTTAGATGTGGGTGACGTCAAGAGTTTGCGTCGAACGAGCAGGTTGTAGTTTGGCAATGGCAAAGAATGCGATAGTAAAGTAATCCGGTCTGGTTCTGTTCTGCCGGAGTGAGAGTAATGTAAATGTAATTGCTGGCAAAAATTGTGGCGCTACTCCCCACGGGCTCCGTAAGCGGCAAAGGAGATGGCTAGGCTACAGCATATGCTAACGACTCACTTGGGCGCATTACAAACGTCACGGTAAACTCAGATCCAATCGTTTCAATCTGCAAAAGGAGTTAACCCCTCCCACCTGTTCACGGAGCTCAATGGAGCACCTCCAGACCTTAGTACAAAATGTAATTTGTACTATGGTGTGGTACGGCCAGGCTAGCGAGTGAGCAACGAGGCTAATAATTCTAAGCGAGAAACATATATTTTTGAATTTTTTTTATGTAAAGCAGGACAACCTCCTTTATGCACGCACACATACAGCTACATTTATCCTCCTGTGTTTTTACCGTCCCACCAGGCGCAGACCGAGAGCGGCGACAACATCACCTTCGCCAACTGCGTGCCCTACCCTCTATACAACGAGATGCATCCCAAGATCCACTCCGTCCTCATCTTCTTGGTCTACTTCCTCATTCCGCTGGCCATCATCTCCGTCTACTACTACCACATCGCACGCACCCTCATCAAGAGTGCGCACGACATGCCCGGCGAGCTCAACGACCACACCAGGAGACAGGTACGGCCAACTCTTGTCGTTTACTTCCCATAATTGTGTTGATTATGTTTTCACGTCATCGTTGATGAGTCAAAAAATCAATTTGCTGTGCTTGTTTTCTGCGACTTAATTGGTGCTGTCGTTGAAATGTCACTGCTAAAATTGCAGCCGTACTCATTTTCCACTTTGTGATACTCGGGCTCGTTCTGGTCGCTTCATTTGCGGTTCAAACACTAACAGGATTTTGTTTGCTATGATCCACTTTTGTAATTACTTTCTGGATTGATCCCGGTCGGAACAGGGCCTTTCTGAGTGGAGTTTGCATGTTCCCCTTGTGTCTGCATAGGTTTCCTCCGGGTGCTCCGTTTGCACCTACCACTAAAAAACATGTACAATAGGTATGAATGTAATGAGTGAGTGAATGGAGGGTGTTTGGTCAGAGGCTTTGATGCTCCAGTGTGTTCGGTGTCTCGCTTCCGTCATCATCTTGTGTGGAGATAATTTAACAATATCTGAACTCAGAACATTATAAAGCGCTTTGGGTGACCTTGGTCTGTAAAAATGAGCTATATAAATAATGTTCTTACTTACTTACTTACTTGATGATCTAAATTGTTCTCAACTGAACACTTACTTACTTATTACATACATTTAGCAGCACCATCAGTCCTCTGAGGCTTTTAATGACTGTCTTTGTCAAATTTATTTTCTAAATCCATATGCAGAGATTTCACCCGTCCAAAAAAAACATCACATAAAAAACGGAACTGACACGTCAAGGGGGCGGGCCTACAGTTCATAAAAGGACGGAAGGAGGAGCTACGTGACTCGTTTAAGACGCTGTACGGGTGAGGACGGGCTGCGGTCCACAGTCTCCAGCACTTGATCTTTCTGCTATTATTTGACATCCAATCTACACAGTGGGAGGATTTTTCTTCTTCTATGTATTATTTGTTTTAGGCTAAACATATGTTTCACGCATTCAAACCAACTTAAGTTATGACAACGCTATTTTGACTTTTACTAGAAATTAATTGGGGCGAATCCCTCCCCACGATGATCCAGGACATTTTAGGACATTTATGACTACTGTCGTGATTTAGGGCTATACAAAATCAAATTGAATTGAATTATATCTGTTATTAGCCCCCCAACCTTTTTGAGCCACTGGCACACCTTTTTTCATTAAAAACAACGACACCAGCTGAAACAGACTCAAAAATAAAACTGGTGTGAATTTGCTATTGGATAAATTCCAAAGGCACACCAAACGACACCTCCAGACACACACATGGCACGGTTAAAAATCACTGCTAAACACAGTGAAATAAATGTGCTCCTCTCCTACAAACTATAGTCAATCTATCTAAAAGTGAATCCTAATGCGTGATTTCCTCTTGGGCTTTATAGAACCTGTGGGGTAATGATTTTGGGACATTGCTTTTTGCACTCCCCCCCTTTCTCTCTCTCTCTCTTCTGTCACTCCTCTCATCTTCCCATAGCAGCACGGTGTGTAATTTTTTCACTTTTAGGTGTGACACATCCAGAAGGAGGCTGAGATACTTCTCCCCTCTCTCCTCTCCACTCCTGTGGTAAAGTCCCGTGATCTCTCATTCCCTCTCTCACCCTCACTCTGTTCGTTCCACTTGTTTCTTCTGATTCCTCCAGTATTGAAGCTCAGTGCAGGATTGAAAACTAATTTTTTTCTCACACATTCAGAAAGAGAGGGTAACACAACAGTGCAGAGTTAGTGATAGCACAAAACAATCAATCAATCAATCAAAGTTTATTTGTAGAGCGCCTTTCATACACAGGGCAACACAAAGCGCTTCACAGTCCACATCACAGATCATCACATAAAACAAACACCAGAATCACAATTAAAACATTAAAATCACACAAAATATTAAAACCATTAAAACGTTCAAAATTACACTAGGAATTTAAAAAATATAAATAAATAAATGACAACATTATAACCATTATATACAGTTCCCATCAACATTAAAAATACAAGATGCCAGTTCTACATCTGAATTTCTGATGTGTCTTTTGTTTTGGTTTTAATGTTAATTTTCATTAATATGTTTTGTAAAGTTTTAATACTGTACATTGAACCTTTTAATATTGAGATACAGTTATTGTAAAAGCAATATAGGAAAATCAAAGAAGGATGAATGCGATATTTTTACATTTGAAAAGTAACTTCACTGACCTTTCGCACAGCTCTTTAAATGCAGACTTTAAAAGAGCCTCTGCTTCCCAAAGGTTCTTCATATACAGGTATGAGCAGAACAAAGGTCACACAGAGAGATTTGGCCTTATATGTTAAATTTGCATGTATAGAGGATTTTCATAAGTGGCCTTTATTCCCAGGCTGCAGCCTATAGTTTAGACTGTCAGCACAGTCTGGCTCCTGTCGTGTGGGGCTCTATATTGGGGGCTGTCGCTGTTGTTTTGCTGTGCAAACTCAGGTGAGCAGTGATTTCTCTGACAGGTCAGTGACAGGTGCCTGACAGCTGTGGACTGAACACTTCAACACAAACTGAGCTGTCAGGCCCTGAGGTGATCCCAGGACAGCGAGGTTCAAACTCTTACATTCACACACATGCGTCTCTGCACATACACTCAGTCAGGGGCATGTGAACAACATGGGGAAGAAGTACTGTATTCACACTTATTTCTGCGCCTACTTTTCTAATAATCAAATCTTCTAAAGGGTGCTTACCTAAACCTGATCATAAGATCCAACTTTATTGATCTCACTTTAGAGAAAATGACATGTTACATTTAAGATCCCCCAGGGTGTGCAAATAGGCAGAAGATGTACAAACAGTATCCATCAATCCATCCATTTTCTATCCCTTTATCCATTTCTGGGTTGGGGGGATAGCCAGAGATGCCACCCACACGAGTAGCCCCTGACTGCAGTCCGCAGATCGGGGCGGAGCTCAACGTGGGCGGAGTCAAACGTTTGACTCCGCCCACGTTGAGCTCCGCCGAGCGGGAGCTAGGCATTGAGGACTGTGCGTATGACAGAGAAGGAGAAGAAGCAGAGGAGAAGAAGAGTGAAGTAGCTGGCAGAATGGAGGTACTGTAGGCCAGTTTTTTCATTCTGTTTTAACGTGCAACTTTGCTATATTTGTTACCAACAAGGAAGGAAGTAACATTATTTTTATTTTAAAATAAGTTATACTTGTATGTATCTGCATTCTGCACGGTTGGACTTCTAATCTAGTATACCTAGCATTACTGTTGCAGCGAAAATTATATAAACCTGGACTTAAAAACGACTTTTCTGGGTTTTAGATTCATATTTATCCGGCACGACGTACTGGGAAAATATTATACCTTTGGGGAGAAAATTTTATGTGATCGTTATTACTTTTGGGGGGGAAATATTATACTTTTCGCGGGGAAAATACGGTTGTTAATAGAATGCAGTTTGTTAGGCATTTAGAAATTCATCAAGAGGAGGAGACCCATCCAGAAGCCCCCGCTCAGCATCCAGAGGCCCCCGCTCAGCATCCAGAGGCCCCGGTTCAGCATGCAGAGGCCCCCACACAGCATGCAGCACAAAAGAGAGTCACATGTCCTCATTGCAAGATAAAAATAAACCAAAAAAACTTCAAAACACACTGCAAGAGAAAACATTCCCCCCAATTTGAGACAGTGTCGAAGGACAGATATCTGGCCTGTCAGTGTGTTGATGGTAAAAATGGTGTATTTGCTGTTGAGAAATCATTTTGTGGTCCAGCAACACCCATACATGTTATCAAAAATACTTGGGGGCCAACTCAGAAAATCTTGTGTGAGGTTGACCAGTGTCGTCTAAACGCTGACTTTGCTCGAAGGAGCGGGATGTTGCCTTTTGAGTGCCACCACATCCAGTCTTTATTGTACTGCCCACGCACCGACAGTCAAACCATGAGACTAACTCCTGAGGCCTTGGGAACAATGGTGCAAAACAAATGGTTTGGCGAGGAACGTAAAGCCATCCTCTTGCGTTTGCAACAAAATGCTGATGCAGAGGGCGTGCCTCTGTCAGTGCAGCTGACTGTGGGTGGTCCACCATCCAAAATTCATATTTCGGTTTATGAAAAAAAAATTACTTATTATAGTAAGTTGGGAAGAGTGATTGTGTCATATGACACAAAGCAAAACAACTTGCATTGTCCTTGCGCTAAAGCAAGACAGTTTTGCATCCAAAAAGCTGTTGCTAAGTGGCATCTGTTTGTCACAAAGAGGGAACTATTTCGGAAGGTGAAGAGCACAGAGGCAGAGAAACACAATCCAACCCAGAGCACCGGCTTTGAAATGAGATCTGCTCACACATGCTGCATTTCTTTGCATTTTCACTTTGTTTTGGTTCTCCTAGTGTGGTTTTTGGTGATTTTGTTTGTACTTTTTTTATACCTGTGTCCCGGTTATGGCTTTTGTTTGTGTTATAAAATTTACCTTTTTGAAACATCAAGTCTGCATCCTTGGGTCCACTGTCTCGCTACCCCACCTCAAACCTCGGCATGTTTTAAGAAGTGTCAGTGGCACAATTCAGTCTCTGTTCTCCTTAATGTAGCTGATATAATTGAGTGGATACATTTATATAAGAATTTTTATTTTTTTAAATGAAGGCAGCATGGATAAAAAATAATGGACAGTAAAAAAATAAGGCTTTAGACAAGTTGAAAGTAGAAGCCTGATATTAAATGTTGATTTCACTTCACTGTTCTAGTTCAGTGGGAGCTGAACCTCATTAAAAAGTTGTGTGTAAGTTGTGAGGGCTCATGGAAATGTAATCATATTACTATTATTTTAGTATCATTTATTTTATGAGACAAGAATGCATATAGAATATTATGTAACCTTACTATTATGTAAGCTGGTATTTACATTTGAGACAAAAAGAAACAGGTTTTACCAAAGATTTACATTTTGACACCAGATGTGATCCTGATATAAATAACAATGAATGGTGTCCCATACAAAAGCTTTTTATATTATTACAAGCTTAGGTGTAACAT